ATTTCAGAATTGGTTTTTTTTTAAGCACGCAAGTTTAAAAAAAAATCAGGCATAAAACATTATTCTCTCAAAGAAACATACAGAACATTTATCAATATAAACGTCAATAAATAAACGTTTTCTTATATTTATTTTGTGCTTTCCATTTTTGTAAGTTAATCGGGGGATTAAACTGAATGACAGATTCTATTTGTTTACATTGACAACTGTCCGTTTCTAAGAAAGGGCGACAACCAAGATAAGCGGCGATGTCTATATATACTTCATAATAACTTGAATGCTGCTCGCCGTTATGCGACTGAGGCCCTCGAATAAATAATTCCAATATAACAAGAGCGCATGACTCTGGCAAACAGGCCAAATCGTCATTTTTTGTTTGTTTACTGGGCCCTGTATGTATTGCGCATAGGTAAAACCGGGCTATAACAAGAGCGCGTGACTATGTTAACGCATGGTTTTGGCCCCGTTATAACATGGGCAAAAGAGGGAAAAAAAGCCGATTTTATGCTATAATAGTGCAAATGACGTGACGTCAAAGTGTTATTACACTAGTGTAATATCGTCTAGTGTAATATCGTTTTTATTAAATGGCTTTATTACACTCCTGCGCCGCGGTTTATGTGATAAATGGAAATTGTAAATCTGCTCTTAAAGTCTTACCTGAATTTGTCAAAATCTTTTCTAATCTAGGAAAACAACATTTATAATTTAAGTAAACAATGCAACAGATTGCTCCCCTTTATTTATGTACGGAGTATTTTTTTTGGTTTGAGAATTTCACATAACCAATGTAAAAACTCCATACGAAAATAAAGGGGAAATCTGCTGAACCTGTGACTTTCATATTACTAGTCCGACGCGTTAACTTTTGGCCATTCATTCGTTATTTAGGTGAGAAAGGGCAATTCAGTTTCGTTGTTCTCATACGGCGCTGATGAACGTTTGTACAAATATTCAGGTTCGTATAGTTAATTAATTGCTGAATCAAGCACTGAAATTCTCTCACACTTGCGTCAAAACCTACTGACAATAAAATATGTGATGGTTACATGGAACAGTCCGATGAAAGGAAAGCAATCTAAATTATTATAATTATTATAATGATACAATAATCTATTATTGAGACGCAGATGATATATCTTTTTCTTTATTTCGTCGCTAAATTGTTACACTGCTTATTTTTTTATGAATTCACAATAGACTTGTATCAAAAGTATTTTTTGTGTTAAGATTTGTCTTCTTAGTATATTTGAATCAATTAAAGAACCAAGGAGCAAGTAATATTTAAACCTGTGACATTTATTTTATAAGTACTATTTGATAAATTTTCTTTATAATGAATGAATATCAAGTGCTAGCAGTGTCGATTTGTATGCAAAGATGTTAATTGATACATATCAGTTTCTCGTTCAATCTGTTGAATGTATTAATTAAAATATAAAATTAAAAAAATAAACAAACTGTGTTTTTATTCATTTTAATTTCAAATTTTCTCATCAAAAAATCATTTTTTATTTTAAATTAAAAAGTTCTATGTACGTATTATTTTGAATCTGTTTGCGGTTTTACTCGTAAAATAAAAAAATTAATTAATTAATAATCTTATCAATGAGTAAATGAATAAATTGATAAATAAATAAATCAATCAATCAATCAATCAATCAATCAATCAATCAATCAATCAACCAATCAATCAATCAATCAATAAATGAATACATAAATAGACAAATAAATGACTTAATAAGTAAGTTAAGCAATTAAAAAAATAACAGAATAAAATATCGTTACGAAATTTGTATAGGATATAATATATTTAAGATCAATTATAGATAAATATCGCGACCAACAATTACTGCATGGTTTTAAAGTAGAACTAATGAAATTCAATACAGGATTATAAGTTTTATATTGACAGTTTTACTGACAAAAATATAATATTTCATTTATTTATTTCACTGCAAAATTCTACATATTAAGCCGGATAATATCTAGCGAATAATAAATATATAAATGCATTTTTCATAGAACATATTGCTTGTAATGTGAAGCAATCCCAATAATAGCAATAATGCCAGTGTCCGAGTTAACTCCTTATTTTATAGCAACTGTAGCGAGACTTGGTCATCGATCGATAAAACCCAGATGTGTAATTGATATAGTAGTATTGTTATAATTGATTATTCTCTATGGAATAAACCAAATGCATGAATAATAACAATCAATAGGGGAAAGCGTATTCAAGTGTAAGTGACTGTGAGGTCTTAATGGACATTGGATAAACAATTTTTATAACATTCACTTACAAACGTTCTTGTAACACTTTATAATACTGCACGTTTGTAACGTCACTTTTCATTGGATATTGATCGTGACGTTTATATACATGTAGTTTGATATGCGCGGCTGCTTTTAATTTTCTAAGAAATCTCACTTTTCTAAAAAAAAAGTTTGCTGTAGTATGAATTCGTTATTAATATTCGTGACAGGTTATATGACCTTATATAAACCGTTGTTTACAATATATTTATTTCCAAGCAGCCGTTTATATCGGGCCATATAGCCTGTCAAAAATATCTTAACTAATAATATAAACGTTTGACATTATTCCTTTAAATATTAGCCAACAAGTACATTTTAGCCTTTGTATGTGACGTAATGTAAGCTCACCACTGTATGGTATAACATAAATAAGTTTAAAAAAATTACAAGCCTGCCCTCCCCCCCCCCATCTCCTCCCTTCCGGAGGTGAGCGAACGATCTCAAATTTTGCATGCAAGTTATTGCTCCAGGTGTGCATCAAATGGAGAAATTATCTCAAAAGCATTTTTTTTTCAGTCCCATCATGTTAAAATAACTCAGTGGAGTCCCTTTAAACCCCCGCAAAACAAATATTTTTTTTCCTTTTTTTTTTCTTAACACAACTCAAATAAACGATGACAAGGATATGCATGATAACTTATTAAGTAAAACTGAATTATGTATCGCATGTGTTAACGGATTAATATTGTTTTCTCGGGGAAATAAATTCCTACAATGCATACGGTATCACTATCGTTTGTATATCATGTACACACATAGACGCAATCCATAATTCATATCATCAAATATTGGTATTACATCGGCAGTATTAATGTTATAGTAAAAAAGAACATTACACGAAATATTCATGAAGTTTTACAGGTAGCTACAAGACAAACTTTATAAGTTATTCTCCTTCATTCTGCGAAAAAATAATGTCTTTATCCTAATCAAAATCAATGTTCGGTGTGCGTGCTTGCGCGCGCGTGTGTGTGTTTGTCTGTGTGTGTGTTTTCTTTTTTATTGTTTTTGTTTCGTTTTTTTTGTCAGCTTTATAGCAAATTTGGTATATTTTACATTGAAATGATTAGCATTGTTATAAAAGGAATTTTGCAAAGTCTAACATTTGATTAATTAGCTTACAGGCGATATACGAATATAAACGGCCCTGCTGTTTGTATTTAAAGTCACGATCTTTGTCCTTTTGATGCAAAATATGTGTTTCTATTTTTGTTTCACTCTACATCATTGTACAAGTAAGATCTGCGTACTTTGCGTTTTGATTATGTATTGTAATCATTATTTTTGTGGACGAGGAGCTATTATTGATAAATAAATAAATAAATAAATAAATAAATAAATAAATAAATAAATAAATAAATAAATAAATAAATAAATAATTGAAATAAAAAATAAATTAAAAATGATAAATAAATAAAAAAGATAAATAAATAAATAAAATGAATAAAAAAATAAATAACAAGTAGACAAAAAATAAATGAATAGATAAATAAATAAACGAAACTAAAAATAAATAAATAAATAAATAAATAAATAAATAAATAAATAACGATAAAAAAACTCTCACGTATCCTGTAAACTTTATACAAAATTTATTTCAATATCATTGAATTCTGTTTAAGCCAGTATATTGTTATTTTTGTGTAAGGATTATTCTCAAATTTCTAAAGAAATATAATAGCCACCGCAAGCCACAATCCGTTGTAATTTCAATTGATTTTACAATAACGAACAGGTACAATTATGTCAACTACGTTCATTTTTACCGCTTCATTTAATGCAGCAACGAGGCAGAAAAGGTTCGAAAATTTCCCAGGGCCGATGGGAATTTTTTTTATTGATATGAATATTGTTTGAAAATAATATATGCACATATATTGAAATAAAAATATAATTTTAGTTTAAAAACGAATATAGATGGAGCGCAGTATAAAAATGTCAGCAGTTTACACTGCTTTGAGCTTGCTAGTTTTATTATAGAAAAATAAATTTTAAATGATGGATACAGTCAAATATATGGTTTTATTAATATTTTGTCTCAAGTCCGTTTCAGGTATAATATCATAAAATAAGATTAATAATTGTTATTTTTATTTCAATATAAACTTAAACATAGTGAAGCTTACTTTAAACAATAAACACTGATGATTTTTGCTGATCGGAACTTTACTTTTTTACTAGCTTTATTTGTTTCCGTAGACGTCATTAATATGTAAACATATTGTTACTGATTTAGCATAAAGTATTGTTTACAGTTTTTACACCAGGGTGGATTAAGATATTTGTAGACTTTTCGTGTATTTTCTTTATTCAGTGTGAAACTATAGACATTTTGGAATAGTTACAAACGATTTTATGTTTTTCTATGTTTATTGGAATAGTTACTATAAAAAGAATTATGATATAAATATTTGCAGTAACCAAGATATAGACGTGACTATCTGGATTAACCTCGTATTACAAAACTGGTGCTTAGTTGCCATTGTTACGTTAATACTTCTGAAATAAATATATGTTTAAACATAAGCGACGCTTGAAATCAATAGTTTATAAAATAAACATAAAAATACGACGGCAACATTACAAAGTAAACTGTAGTTACAATTCGAAAAAAAAGAAGAAAATAATTCATTTTTTGTAATACATTAATTTGAAATATAGTTTTAATAATTTAGCATTAAATGAGTAAATTACATGATCAGAGAATAAATGCAAAAATAATTACCTTTTTCCTTAGTCATTTATCTTTTTTTTTAATATTTGATATATAACTGTTACACGACTTGGCGAAATAACTATAAAGAAGGCAATCAAGATGTTTTTATAAATAAGGGGTTAATTTTTCTTGAATAGTATTAAACGAGTTGAATGAAAAAAACGGAAAATATGCATTTTATTTCATCATTGTTTCTCAATATGTCATTAAAAAGTATACAATAAAGTTAGTAAAAAGAATTAGAATAACATGTATTGTTGTATTTGAAAACCAAAGTAAATAAAATCATATAATATATATTTCACTGGTATACAATTCCCTGCAATTTTTAATGTTTTTTTTTAATATTAGGACAGACGTGCTCGAGTGGAACAACTACAGGCTCAACTTCCCTGTTAAAGAAAATTAGCAAAGTGGACACAAACACAGGTATTTTTTTTTCAAATTTATTATCTATTTATCTAATAAAATAGTTCGCTCTAATATTTTTCATTTATATTTAATAAATCAATGTGAGAAATAAAAATAATTAATTCAATCTTATGCTTTACTTTATGTTTTATTTAATTCTCCATACATGTAAAAATAGTCAGTTATATGTGCTTATGTGCATATGTATCTTATAAATCTCAGTTGATTGGTCTTAAATGTTTTTTTTAAATGTTTATGAATTTTATGTTTTATATGTGTAAATGTGAGAAAGGGACTTACATAAACGAATAAACAAATAATATTAAATATAATTTATGAAAAATAACAATTAACATATGAATCAATGTATAGCCATTCTTAAAAGAATTATAAGAGACTGATTGATTTTCGTTGTTTGTACTATGCATGTAATATGTATGCGATAAAAATGGCAGTCACACTAAAACCATAAAGAAAAGGTGTTTTACAAAAAAAAAAAAAATAAAAAAAAAAAAAAATACAAAAAAAAATACTAAAAAATAATAATAAAAAAATACAGATATGAAATTTTTTTAACGAACTTATTGAATTGTTATTATTTTCAATCGTACTATAAAACTGAAAAAGCATGCATTTTAACGCTTTGATCAAGGCGATATATTTGTAAAGTGTTGTGAAACACATTTCGCCTGATTAAGCTTTACCTCATATGGCTACAGTTTGACAAAAAACGTCAGTAAAAGCGTTTACACGCACTTTTAACTTTTTAAATATTTATTTGCATTTTAACATTTAACATAGCATTTATTTATACATTTCTTCGGTTAGATTATTTTGATGTAAAGTGTACACGCATTGTATTTGGCTGTTTATTCAGCGAACTATATAGGGAATAGTTTACTATTGTTTAAACCTAAACATTTTAACTCTTAAAATAGCCATGTGTTTGTTAGGAAATATGATATTCAATTGAATCTGTTAAAGCATAAAAATTTTTTTTAAATATATAATTATAAATAATCGTGATAGATTTTATAAGTATTTGTACAGAAATCATTTAATAATGTATTTGTAATTATTTTTGTTTTACTATTACAAATGTACTATTCATGTATATTAGCGTGTTTGTTTCTTCGTATCTCTATTGTATAAGTTATTGTTATATTGTCAACCATAAACTTATTGTTATACATTAAACATATCTTATTCCTATTTGAAATTAGAAAAAAATGGACTTTATAAGAAAGCAAGATAAAACAACTTGTAACAGACATAACATGACCAAACGATTGTAACAAAGTCCTTCACAAATGAGCCTGTCTCTTAACATCACACTGAACCCCGGTGTATAATTTAGTGTTAATTTTGCAGCGGAAACGTTCGTGCACACGGACTCCCAGTACTTTTTCAAGTGTTGTGGTGTTGTCGAGCAATGGCAACTACACGCAGAGAATCCTGGTACTGTGAACCTGCAGGTGTGGCGACCAGTAGGGTCAACACTTAAACTCATGGGCCAGAATACATTTTACGTTGCTTCAGGTAAGGCAATGTGCTTCAAGGTTTAACTCATTTATTAAGAACTAAAATGTAAAACGAGAAAAAATTTTTCCTCCAACCAGTTTTCTACTAAAGTATTGCATAAAATTTTTGTCCGGCAAGGACTTATAATTATGTAAAAAAATTCTAGAATGCTAGAATCCCTTAACTTTTTCTTTATAAAGGAATGAGAAAACTGAAATTTATCAAAACCAACTTATATTTAACCTATATTTGACGGCTCGATGAAATTGTAGTTCACCTACGTATAACTTCTTTTAGCTTTGCTATATATTGAACTTTTCTAAATTTTAGAAGGGACAAAGACGTTACCAGTTCCAGTTAGTGAAAGAGTTACAGTACAATATGCGGACTATATTGGATGGTAGGGCTCTTTCCTCATACCAATAGTATAAATTCGTTTTTTTTGTTTGTTGTTGTAACTAATATAGCATGCTGAAAACAGTGTATGTGTTTTAGTTTAAATTAAAGTCATAAATGTCATAGTACACATTATGATTTGACTTTAAATCGCTTCACATAAATGGTTTTAATTAGTGTGTGAGACTAAAAAAAAGATTGGAGCACCACACTAAATACCGTATTTCGGTATATACCGGAAAAGGCGCTTGAATAATAAAATACTAAAATCTCGCCTTTTCACCCAACGGAATAAATTTTAAATTGTCTTATTAATCTCTTCACACCGTTTTATATACGATAATCAATGAAAAATGTAAAAATCGACGAAAAGAACGATACATGTCTATTTTGTGATCATGACTTTTTGCAAGCGTCTAGAGGTACTGCTCCAACACTGTATTGAGTTAAATACTTACATAATTGACAGGTACTCGGACGCTGAGATGATCACATATAGCGACGGTTCTGCCTCCGACGCATTTAGTCTTGCAATAACATATGATACAGCGTTCTATTCCGGCGGGAGTGTGGCAAATTGGGGGTCAGCAAACAGACATTCTAACAGATTATATGCTGTTCTCGCTGTTGTTACAGCCAGTGAGCGTATTTTACCTTTTTAAGTCTTAAAGTTAACTAACATTTTATTGTATATACACCTTACAAAGAATTTTATTATTTAGCATACATAATGATTAACGTACATACATAATAGTTGGGCCAAAAATTACCTAACCTTCACCATCGATTTCTACTAATCCCTTGGGTTTTTAGGGTCAGTGTTCTTCTGTTCTTATTGTTCAATCTCAGGTGCTTGGAAAGGCCCTGTGTATATCATTTCCTGCCATTTAATTTATACAAAATATTTTCTTGTTATTTTACGTTTTTCATTAATTTAACTTGAGGGATGATTAAATGCCGTTCAGCAATGAATGAAATAATTCCTCACTATTGTTGCAATGTTGATTTAGGCCGATCGGAGATATTCTTACTGTTAATTTAAGGAGGCGAACGTGACCTTGCACTCTTTTTTAAATGAAGAATCAGGCTAAAATATGATAAACAAGATCGACAAGGAAAGGCGGCGTTCAATGAACGCAACCCCCACCCGACCCAGCAATAAGAGCCAGTGGCAAGGAGCCCAGGAGGACCCCAAAACAAAAATAGGACAGGGCACAAGGGCATAACCTTGTCGTCAAATTTCATCTTTTCTACTTTCGTTTTATTGCTCTTTAAGAACATCTTTTCCCGGATGTTTAAAACGAAACAATTAATTCAAGATTAAATTTCCTACTTATCACATACGATTCAATTTCTAGGATTTATTTTGAATAGGTACATCACCAACGTTGTCAGATTTAAGCATTCCAAGAGAATTCTTCCAGTACAATCTTAGAGTTGGAGATACCGTTCTTGTCGCCTACGTTTATGACGTTGACAAACACGATCTTGAATACATGACTTTCATCAGAATTGACGCCCATGATGCGTACTTTGAGATGAAAGTATCACAAAATTCAACTCATGCATACGGTGAGTACAAAACCATATTTATTTCATTTAGAAAAAATAAATTTGGGACCGTTTTGTATTTAAAATGTTTAGAATTATATTAATTATTAAAATATCACAACATAAATATATTAAATGTACGTGTACAACACAAAACATTTTTTTCTAATATCAATTTTACATGATGAGAAACTCGAAGCCTTAATAAAGCTTATTATTAGAAAAGAAGCAAGTACATGTATGTCAAATGTTACATTGTAGAAAACTTAGCTCAGAAATAAAAAGTATTTGCAGGCGTACTATTTTAGGTTGGAACATAAAGACGATTTTTAAAACAGTTCTAAGGCCAGTTACACAGACGGTCGGTCCCCAATCGATCATTTAATTTTAAATTTACTCGCTGTTATGATTGGTTGCCGATTTGATAGCTAGTCATCAGTGGTTAACACTTTCCGTCAGATATGGCCGGTGATTCATATTTGGTTATCTTTGTCCGGTCAGCGTTACCAGTGATTAAGAGCTTGCAGTTACACAGAGCCATCGGTGATTGATCGGTAGTGTTTTTGTTTGGGCAAATTATGGAGTGAACCGATGACAACGTATTTAACACCAATATCACCTATTGGTCACCTGTTTTCACCTATCAACTGCTATTGCGGAAAGATAAGTTTTATCGGTGAACAATTACCGATTGGGATTTTTAAACCTGTTTAAAATTCTCGATTGGTGAAAATATTTTACAAATAACCGACAGCAACCTATATCACAAGATATGCAAGCTCTTAATCACCGATATCGCCGATCGGACAAAGATAACCAAATATGAATCACCGGCCATATCTGACGGAAAGTTTAAGCTATCAACCACCGATTAATCAGCGTTACGCCCGATTTAGCTCCGATTTACAAACGATAAAAACCGATAGTATTTCAGTATTTTTATCACCGATCCAACCCCGTTTGAGTTTGCTTTCTGTCACCGATGGCCGTTTACACAGAAAACCAAAAATAAAATCACGCATTACAACCGATCATAACAGCGAGTAAATTTAAAATTAAATGGCCGATTGGGGACCGACCGTCTGTGTAACTGGCCCCTAACTGGGGTGTTATGAATGGCAAAATATTATTTGAATACGCGTGCCCGGCTTGAAATTTACGTACTTTGTATTTGTCAAACGGGATTGATACTTAATGATCATATAATTTATTTCAAAATGGGGAATTGGGGGTTAAGTTTAAAATTTGAAAATTTAATATGCGTAAGTCGGTGCTAGGAGGCATGAGAGGATGTGAATGAGTTTGTTTGCTTCATCTTCTTGTGTTTTGTTGTCACTGATCTTTTTCTCTGTTCTAAAGATAATAAAATTGAAATGGACGAATAAATCTGAAATCTAAGGTACTGGAAAATTTGTACGATCAACATTGGAATTTTAAACAAATGCTCGGGATATTAAATATATGTTTGTTAAACATATGATTCTTTTTTTTCAGTGGAGTTTCTTATTCTTAATATTCCACCATTTGGGAACTATACTTTTCAGTTTGAGGCAAAAGATTCTTGCTTTAATTCAGTTTCAGGATCAGCGGAAATTATCATTAAACGTCGGGTATTTATCTACAAATAATTTCATTCCACATACAAGTACAATATAATTTAGTTATTAAATTCGTTATAACTGCCTGCAATGTACAACATTATCACATTTAATAAAAAAATTTACATACCATCTTAATTTGTTAGAAATGATCAAAACAAAATATTGGGTAAAACATGGGTCACTTGCAGTCAGCTGTTAGTTCAAACTACTGTAATTTGAAATTAAATACAATTTGAATAACTTCTCTTATTAAAACAGAGTCTGCAATTTTCATGAAATTTTCATGATATAATTGCTTCCAAGGGATCACATTTTCCCCAGATGTTGTAAAAGAAATACAGTTACTTTATAGAAATTAAGAACCACATGTTACCGAATCGTTCATGACTTAGTTATATAGTATGAAATTAATCAGAATTTGCTGATATAAAAAAGATCTTAAATATTTCAATTAACATGATTATTTTATAAGTAATATTGAATTAAGTTATTTTCAAATTGTGAAATATGTTTGAACGTTTTTTGTCCTATACTTGTTAAGAATGTTTCTGTATTTTTCACCAGAATTTATCCATCAAGAATCTGCCGTACGTTGTGACTACACATCTACAGAAGCCAGGCCCGCTGTCCCTCCGCAAACTTGTTGTCCAGACTGATGCATTATTTACATGTACAATTGACTCTGTGAGCCCGGCCGTTCCTTCTGGCTTAATAATTATAGGTAATTAGTTATCTATTTGTGAAATTGTGAAGAATTTAGAAACTATTTTAGAAGGTTAAATTTATTGTGTAACAATAACCGAAACTTCAAACACATGGCTGGAAATATCACTCGAAGTAAAGTTTAGTTTATAAAAACAATTTATCTTTCAAAATTCATTTGTTTATAGTCAAATTAGTTCAAATTAGTAACGAAAATAAAAATGAGCATATTTTCACTTCGTGAAATTTGTTCGAGCCCTACCGTTACATTCGTGCAGATTGGTCTCGAGTGCTTCAGATCTTCTTCACAAATGTGCTTAAAATGTTTGACACGGACTTACTTATTTACACATTTTAAATTCTTATCTTACATCATAATTTGTCTTCTTCCTTCAATGTTAAACAAAATACTATGATAGGTTTTTGACAATCAGGAGAAAAATGTTTTTGCTGAAATATACACATACCTTCTCTAAATTGGCTGCTGTATATTTTAGCGTAAAATTACGTTGCACTGGTTAGATGGTGGTCGGTGGCTCTTCTCAAATAGTCCTAGGCGACGAGCATGTAATTGCTCAAATGCTGAATAAATAAATTGAAAATGAATTATTTCAGATACATCGGGTGTCTCTGTCGTTGCTCCTCCTGTATTATCTGCCCCTGAAACATACAATATTGGTGTATTATGTACTGATTCCGAGGGAACCGAGGATAAACAAACATTGACTGTTAATACAGTAATAAATACAGAGCCAAGAGTGGTCGGCTTTGTCGGTATGAATTTATTGAATTTTATAGAATACATTACATAATATAAATGACAGTATAATTTATTTACATTTTCGTAATTCTACAGATTATTAATATGAAATATTTTTTTCAAGCAAATAAACAATTACTATGTAATCGACTATACAATCTTTGTATACAAGAGAACAATACGAGTTTATGACTAGTTTATGAAGTCCGAATAAATACAAAATCATGAAATATAAGTCCAGTGAGAATGTCGGTATCGACTGCATTTATAGTCTCCCTTTGTACAAAATACTCAAAATATGACTCCTCGTAAGAAATAGTTTATGAACAATATTTTTCAAACTTATTCCTGAATCCCTTAAATCTGGTGTAAATATCTTATCAAATACATGGAATTTAATAAGTTATGTTAAAGCTGTTCTTGTAATTCCGTCTTGTCCACTTTCAGATTCCGTGTTTGTTGATGTTTTACAAACATCAGTCAATGATGTTGTACATAAAAATGTTATTGTTGATGATGAAGATGATGAGGTCGATGTCCTCTACATTTGTGACCAGAATCCATGTCCTTTCAAACTACTTAAGAGTATGTCATTATACTTTATTTCGAGAAATACGAAATTAAATGTAGTTTGAAATACATAAAACATTTTTACCCGGTGCGATTGTGGAAGCTTAAATATATCTTATAATACGCCTTTCTCTCAAATTTCGTCACAAGCCTTAATTGCGAATTCATTAAAACTCAGTTTGTTTTCATTTACATTCTAAAAACAAGTTATTTAACAATATCCAATCAAAATTATTTTAGGTGGTAACGTGATCTGTATTGACGACTTGGCCTCTGTGAATGAGACAACATATACCATGCACTTCGGATTATCTGATGGAAATCTGTTTTCTGATGAATATATTTTAAACATATATTTACAAAGTAAGTGTGTACTATTTTGTTAAAGTATATAAATTTAAACAAAATATAATTATATTAAGATGTCATAATCTTGTAAATTGAGTGGTCTAATAAAATTTAGGATTTTGTATCGTAACTAAATTATTAAGAATTATACATGTTAATAAACAAACTCTAAAAATTATTTTGAATGTACTCATTTATCGAAAAAAGAAACACTAATAAGTTAATTCGCCTTTAGGTCTGTTCGATTTGCTATTATGCGTATTCGGTTCTAGAGAGGTTTCAAATACTACTATCTTCAGATTGTATTTTGAATAAATCAGAAAATGGCAATTTCTTCCCATATATAAGTCCATGCTTTATATCTCTACAAAAAAGTTATTTAACTATGTTAAAGCATTATGCTTCAAAACCAAATAAAAAAATAGTATTTAATTGTCATAATATTCGAATACCTTCAGATTTTAACGTGGCACCGTATATATCCAATCTTTCACCAGGAATAGACAATACAATAACTGTTTCGGAGACCACTGAAGGTAATTCAATATTATAGGACACTTTTGCAAGCATGAAGACAATCAAATCTTTCCGTGTGTAATAATTTAAAACATGTTTGTGGCGTCTGGGTTTTATGAAAGGGATTATCCACCACTCTAATTAATATGAATACATTGCAATTAATATGAAGACATTCTTATTATTTTGAAGACATTTCTTATTGATAGGAAGACATTATTATTAATACACATATGTACGGTCTAATCATTATGCAATATAAAGATGTTGTACATGTACTTGCTGACGTAACTCGAGTTCTTATTGAAATATGCGAACATTTAATTAACACTTCAGTTTTAAGGCTGTAAACATGCAAACTATAATAAGGTATTTAATTTGCTGGCTTTCAAGTATTTTTCCTTTATTTGAAATTGCTATCTAAAATTGAATTGACACACATTTTATGCTTACGAAAATCAACTATGTCATCAAGTACATCATAAAATTATAAGCACATTATCTATGACGACAAAAATGATCAGTGATTTGAAATTATATTAGAATCACAGTAATGCCTGTATCTGCCTTTTTGATGTACTTCATTCTTTGATGTTTTTATTGATTTCTGCTTAGTCTACTTCATTAAATTGTTAATTTGAAACATTATTTGATACACCCTCTCATTGATCCGCCCTAGTTTCCTTACTCCGCCCTGGCCTCTTTTGCTCCAACCTGGTCTTCTTTGCTCTGCCCTTGCCTCCTTGCTCCGCCTTAGTCTCCTTGCTCCACCCTGGTCTCATTTGCTCCGCCCTGGTCTCCAATTTTTATTCGGCGCTTTACCGATCGTTCTTTGTTAAGTGAACTTATATCAGTTTATAGGTGACATAGTTACTATGTATCTACTGGGAATTATGTATTTTCTTATTTATTATCTACAGAATTACGAAAATATAAAGAAATTATACTGTAATTTTTATTGTAAAATGCTGTCTATAAAATTCAATAATTTATACCGACAAATCCAACCACTCTGGGCTCTGTATTTATTACTGTATTAACAGTTAATGTTATTTGTGCCGTGTGGCGGCTGTAAAATGTCTCCCCGTACATTTAATCAATGATGTTATATTTTCGATCCTTGAAGATCGTTCAGCACGACATTATTGTTGTGCTTGTGGTATTTTTAGTTTCAATTTTACGGCATTTTCTAGTTGGGTGGTTCCAATATTCCTACTTGAATAATGTTGAATCACCCTTAGGATATGTTGCCTGCTTTTTAAATTTGTCTTTTGACGTCTTATCTGTGATACGCAGGCTTCATAACCTCTGATCCCCTTTCAAAATTTCATTTCATTAAGTTCCGCCCATTGTTTTCTCGTTTAGGGCACACGCATTTTTTTACTTGGGGACCATATGCCGCTTTTCATGGAATGGCACTAACGTGTCACATTGAAGGTTCCATGATAACCGCCATATGAACACATCTGCGGATGTTTCAAAATTCTAAATTTTACCAGTTCATGTTAAATGTTGAATTCTGCTTAAGCCGGTGCTAGGGGGCGTGGACGGTAACTTGCACTTTCCAGTACCGTCCATGAACAGGCTCAATCAAACCGAGCCTGCAACATTTTCAATTTTGCCGTGTTGGGCTTTCTTTAGGGATTCTGTATTTATCTATTTTATATCTAATTGATATTTGTACTCAAGTTATATGTATATATATTTATATATTAAACAGTCGGAACCGACATATTCGATGTTGACGGGAAAGATGGCAACCCATCGGATAATATGTTCTTCAGTTTCCAGTTTGATTCTCCAGAGGCAAATACATATTTTGCTTATTCTACAAAAGGTGATTTTTTTTTCTTATCATAATCTACGTTTTCCTTTTATTATGTTAATTATCAATTATCTACAAAGCTGATCAGATTAAGATTTTCTTTTCAAATGTTTAATAATTATGTAATATTATAAATAATAGAGTGAAAATTAATAACAACAATCTTTCAAACAAGAACTTATTGACGTAAATACTTTATAATTTTACTAATCATTATTATTAATTTTTGCACTTTTAACCAAAATAAATTTTATGGACATCTGCCCCCGAATATTCCACTCCTTTTGATAATTTGATGTCTAAATAATAAAAATATTAATAGTACTTTTTCAGATGCTCATTTCCACGTCAATTATACATATACTATGCATTGTATACTCTTACGTGTACGAGTTGTCTGTTCTGTTCTGTTTTGCTAAACATGCAGTTAAAGTAACCCGCCAAGAGACCCCACCAAGCAAAAGGTGGAGAATTAACAAAGTAAAATGACGAGTGCGCGTGTGTGTGTATTTGCGTTTATTTATACTCGCCACCGGTTGCCCATATGGGCGAGTCCCCCAGAAGAGTATTAGTCATTTTAGATTTTTGGAGGATAGGGCAATTACAGATACAGAAAGATGCCCCAATTCCAGAAGCTTCTCCTGGTTCTTTAGCGTGCCAAGTGTTTCAGCACTCATACACGGGACCTTGATTTAAAGTCTCATCCGAAAGACTGATTAGTAATTTTAGTTGGCCAGCCCGGGAATCGAACCCACAATGTCGAGATTACAAGTCTCGCGCTCTAACCGATTGAGCTATGCAGGCTAACGAGTGCGCGGTGCGAAAAAAACGCTTTGTAGCGGGGTCGCGGAGCAAAGTTAAACAAATAAAACTTCGCCGCGCGGGGGAGCGGAGCGAGATTTAAAGAAAAGATAAAAGGCTGGGGCACGTCACGCTAATAAGCTGGAGCCAGGGCGAAGATTAATAATTAGCGTGCTTTCGCTCTGCATCCCGCCATTTTAAGGAATTCTCGACTATGCGCTTAACGGTGTCGTGGGCCGAAAACACCAATGGCACAAACCAGCCACCAAAGTTCACGATCAAGATTTTGAGAAGGCATGTCATGTAAATCGTGAAATCATAAAGTTAAAGTCGTGATGTTTAAATGGTAGATTCGTGAAATTAATTTGTTGGGTTCATAACGTAAAGTTCATTTACATGTTTTTATTTCAGATGGAACATTAACACTAACATCCCAGCTGAACTACACCTATCTTCAAAGCTTTGGTTTGGATAAGTTTTCTGTCAAAATAAATGTAACCGATGGGCTTCTTACTTCAGATGATTATCACTTGACCATTATTGTAAGTGTTTATTATTCTCAAGAACAAAACGTAAAACGGCACGAGTGTTACTATAGAGATTAACAATGTTTTCTAATTAATATTCAGTTGTTACATTGTAAGACTTTTTGCCATACGCAGAATGCTCATGCGCAAAATGCTAGTTCTGTTTCTAAGAAAATATTGTAACGTAAAATGGTCCATCATGTTTTGGCTGATAATGTACACAATATTGTGATAATGTTAAATCATTTTGTAAAATGTTCTGACATTTATGTTCGGACTCTTTTCTGGCGATGCTATCCGAGAAAAGAAACCAAAAAACAAAAAAAAAAAAAAAAAAAAAAAAAAAAAATATGTACATATTTTGTAAAATCATATAAAATTGAAAAACATGGTCATTGAAGTGAACAATATTCTTTTAGATTGTTCCAGTTAGTAAATCTACAGACACTGGAGATTCTGATAACGCTAGTAGTGGTGTCATCTCTAATTCACCATCATCCGACTTTAACGTTCCAACCATCGTTCTAGCGGCTGCGCTGGGTATATTCATCACCATGTCTGTAGCTTTGTGTATTGTAGTGATGGTGAAGAAAACAAGAACATATTCCGAAGATATTAACAGCTCAACAGCAGAGTAAGTTGTGGCCACGTGTTTGATAAATAATGATGCAAAGGCTTGTTGATTTGGTTGTTTTCATATTTATATCATGAAAGATACATTGGAGTGAAAAAAGACAACAGCATTTGAGAGACAAATTTGTTCAGAAATGGCACGAATCGATTGAATCAATTCTTAAACTCGATTACTAGATTGTATAAAAATGAATTTGGTTTTGTTTTTCTTAATATGGAAGTAAATTGTGAATTTCGAAGACAGCTTGCATTTTTAGGTTAAGTTCTCATACATTAGAAACTGAAACAGGAAGATATATTGGTGTAGAAAGAAATGCGAAATTATGTAAATTTTGTTCACAGCAAACAATTTAACCAAAGTATCTTTTTCTTTTATGTTGTCCACTTTATAGATATTTAAGAATCAAATACAAATTGCCATACTCTTAATAAAAATAATTGAAATACAATACATGTATATGCATTTGTCAGGTATAATATTCATTCAGTTAAACGTTTGCTTTTGTTATATTTCATATTGTGTTTCTTTACGTATTAATTTAACAATGATTATAAAAAATGTAGTTAACAATGTGACTTATTTTCATATTATCAAGTATTATTTTATAATTGACTAAAATGGATCTTTCTGATAAACTGAAGGTTCTTAATATGTCAAAGACGGAATCAATTAGTGTCAACTGATTTTAGAAAGTGTACATAATGAAATACAAACATTTTTGTTAATACATTGCATGAAGAAAGTACTCCCTTATTACATTTTTATCATATCTTATAATTAAACTAATATTTTAATATATTGCAGTTTATTGTCGATTCATAGTAACAGGTTCCGTGTTGTACAAGTCGAGCCTTCATATAGGAACCAGCAAAATGGTAAAAATCTAATTTTATCAACTTCCATTTACATATTAAGTTTTCATATCCTGTTTATATAATTAAATTTCAAGTTATGTATATCAAAGGACTGATCAAAACATTGCGTGAATTAAAAGTGTAATGCATAATTTGTATGCATTGCTTAGAAATTTATTTTAAATTTGAGAAACACCCCTTTGTATCATGATTTCAGATTGTTAAACTGGCGGTTTCTCTTATATTTTCAATGAATGTTAATAACCAAGATATGTTTTATTTCTAAATTACTGACTTTCATCTCTTATTTTCTTAACTTTTAGTCCAACTTTCGACGCCTAAAATGACACCAGTTGAATGATGTAAACAGACGCAACAAGCGCTGTTGGATGTTTTGTATACCAGAGATGCATTTATTTTTGGTTTTCTTAATTATCTATAATGTAAATTAGAAAGTGAAATATTAAATATTATCTGATTATCCGATAATAGCTTTTTTATTATACACTTAACATAAAAATGTATGTACTCGTATGTAAATGACGGTCTATAGCTATAAAACCAAGCTAGAGAAAAACGTATGAAGCGATGTTTTTCCTATTTTGTGATCATGAATTCTTTGAGCGTCTAGAGGTACTGCTCCAACACTGTAGTGAGTTAAATCCTTCGGCAATTAATAGAATAAGGTGATACGTTAAGATTTTTGTACATTAACATAAGGGATTAAAGAAAGAGTTGGATTTCCTTGGTATTGATTTAGTAGGAAAAATGGTAGAAAATAAAAGTAAAATAAAAATCAAAAGTTAGATTTTAACTTTGCATGTAACCTATGTTTTCTTATTGTACAAGGTTTTAAACAAAATGAAATACAAGTTTTTGAAAATTTGTAAAAGTAAGAACAAATTAGGATTATTTAAAAAAAAAAGTTATAGGCTATATTATTTGGCGAGAAGACAGATTGCAAGTTCAAAGGAATTATACTGTTATTTCCATAAAACTAAGGGAGATTAATAAAATTATAACAAATTTGTAATCGAGAGTGAGTTATTTCGCTTCGTCAACAATGATAACAGTATTGGTGTTTTAATAAAGTACCGTCACGTTTATTTGCAAATAAAAAACAAATTGTTAAATCCCTAACGGTTTTCTTCTATTAACGTCGCACCACAACAATATTGATCATGTGGCGACTTTTCAGCTTTACTGTTGGAGGTGAAAGAAGACCTCTGCTGCCCTTCCATACATTATTTCATGCACAAATGGGTACCTGAGTTGATCCACCTAAGTTCGTAAAACTAGCTGGAAAACTTCTTCGCATGAAAGAACCCAAAATCCCTGTCGGGATTTGAACCCACAGGGCAAGTGTTTTGAATGCACCGTTTCAGCCACGGATGGACATAAATATCAATATAGGTAAAATGTTGATGATATTCTGCTGAACAAAATAAATCACGATTATTTTAAAATACTCTTTCATAAAATACTGGATCTCATAGAGCTTGTAACAGTGTTAAACTATACCCTGATTTTCGGTACGAACGGGAATATCCAGCTCGAGGGTAAATATTTCATTGAGTAACGAAGCTTGTGCCGTTTGTTTATGTGTAAACAATCAATTCTGTCTAAGTCGGTGCTAGGGAGCGTGGACGGTAATTTGCACTTTCCAGTACCGTCCATCAAACCGAGCCTGCAATATTTTCAATATTTCGTTTTGGGTGTTCTTTATGGATTCCGTTTTCTCTATTTTACTGAAATAGTGTATGACACTGAAATAAGCAATGTAATTGCAAATTCGTCATTAGATATGTTTAGATTTAACAAACGTATTCAAAGTACTACATAATTTGATCGTAAAATTTCTGGCTAGTATTGTATCAAATGAAATGTAAAATTCATAATGAACTAGACATTTGACATTAATATTTCTGTACATTCAGGTTGTTTAATGTTTTCTTGTCTTATATCTGCCATACCAGTTATTGCTTTAATAGTTACTTATGCATTCTGTTTCGGACAGAAATTTAAATTAATTTCGTTTGCTGGATTTAGTATACCATAAAATGGATGACATTTCAAGAATACGGTTGATAAAACATTAATTATTGTGTATAAGTATGTATGAAAATATTTCATAATATCCATTCGTCTACTAATAAGATTTGAAATAGAAGCAATTAATGAATGCACATATTATAAACATTTCACATTTGAATTTATTTAAAATGGTTTTACTTGGCGTACTGTAATGAAAATGATAATAAAACGAAACGCGTCGCTTTAGCTATTTTACAACAGTTAATTTGACGTATGTAAGAAACTTGCATCTATAGTATGGCTTTTGCGAGCAAGAACCACTTTAAAGGTTCTCTACAAATATAGGAAACTATATCATTTAATATTTACTTCTCATCCATATTCTTTAGACTGAAAAAATACATGTACAACAAACAGCAAATATAATTATAAATAAATAAGAGTAAAAAGACTAAATCAATAAAATAAAAATGATAAAATAAATGACAAGCAAATAAGACAAATCTCACAAATTCATTTGAGGGTGAAATCGCCCAATGAGTATTAAAAAAAAATGTATTTAGCGTGATTTTTTATCAATTATGTCTTCAAAAAAAGATGGAGAGCAATGTATTTTAGATTATTTTTCAACAGAAATTGATTTTATTTAAATCTCTTTCTTCCTAGTCAAGTAGTTGTCTAAGAAAATTTTGTCTATTACAAACCAAGGGATACAACTCAACCATAAGAAACAGTTGTTTCCCTTTATCTACAAATAGGGAAACAGTTGAAACCAGCTTTGAACAATGTAATGTCCAATATCTTTTCAAATAGTACAATGAACCACTGTTTCTCAAATTTTTTGATTATCTTATATGTGATTACATATTATTGTAACGTATCTTAAGGTTATTATTGCACACGGTTGAACGACTTATGTATGCCATTTGAGATACTTCACGGTACATTTGAATATATCTATATATATATATAAAAAAAACAAAAAAAACAAAAAAAAAACAAAAAAAAAACAAACAAACAAACACCCCCCCAAGAATACGAGTTCCGAATAACAATATTTTTTTTGTTCTGAACTAGAATCTGTAAAATGATTGCAAAACAGAAAACAAAAAGGAGAAAAAATTAAGATTACCATGCACAGACAATGAAATCGAGTATGCAATCAAAAGCCTTAAAAATGATAAAGCCAGTGGATATGACAATATAGTAAATGAACACCTTAAAGCAACATTTCCATTCATGAAAAGAGTATATGTTAAACTTTTTAACCTAATATTAAATACCGGTATAAGTCCTGAATCATGGACTATTGGTATAATCAATCCAATATATAAAAACAAAGGGGACAAATCTGACCCTGGAAATTATAGGCCTATAACTTTGTTGAGTTGTTTAGGTAAAGTTTTTACATGTATTTTAAATAAAAGAATAACTGATTATGTTGAATCTAATGAAATAATTAACAATGTACAGGCAGGTTTTAGGAAAGGATTTTCTACCTCAGATCATTTATTTGTTTTGCAACACATTATTCATTATCTTAGTAACAATGGAAAAAAGCTTTTTGCTCCTTTGTTGATCTTAAACAAGCATTTGACACAGTTTGGAGAAATGGTTTATGAGAAAAACTGATAAATTCAAATATTAATGGAAAATGTTTACAGGTCATTAAAATTTGTACAGTAATATTAAGTCATGTGTTAAGGTAAATTCTTGTTTTTATAATTTTTTTCCCTTGTAGTATAGGTGTACGCCAAGGAGAAAATTTATCGCCATTGCTATTTTCTCTATTTCTAAACGATCTAGAATCGTATTTTTTAAATGATAGTAACGTACATGAATTACAATGGTAAACGGAAGTTATACAAATGAGCTTTTCAGTCTTTTAAAATTATTTATATTACTCTATGCGGACGATACGGTAATAATATCAGAAACAGTAGATGATTTACAAAAAGCATTAAATATATATGAACAATACTGTGATATTTGGAAACTTAAGGTAAATACGTCAAAGACAAAAATCGTAGTTTTTTCTAAAGGTAGACAACAAATGTATAATTTTACTTTCAAAAACGAACCTATCGAGGAAGTCAATGAGTACAAATATCTTGGAATTTATTTTAGTAAAACAGGTTCTTTTCTAAAATGTAAAAAAACATATCGCAAGCCAAGCTACAAGAGCCATGTATAGTTTAGTAAAAAATTCTAATCGTCTCAATCTTCCAATAGATTTACAAATTGAATTCTTTAACAAAACAATTAAGCCGATTTTACTGTACGGTGTAGAAATTTGGGGATTTGGTAACCTCGACATTATTTAAGGTTTTTAAAAATTATTCTTAAATTTAAGAAGTCAACAGCAAACTAGTTTGTTTATGGAGAAACCGGTTGAATGCCTCTAGCTATGGACGTCGAAAAAAGGATAATATCATTCTGGTCAAAATTATATAATAACTACGGTGTTAACGCTAATAATAAATTGTCAATTCTTGTCTATAATAACTTACTACACTCAACAGCTGGTTTAAGAGATAATTTGCTTAAAAAGAAATTTCCATGGTTTTTTAATGTCAAAACTATTTAAATCAAATGTGGTCTATCAGAAGTGTGGCTCGACAACACATTTACAAACTCTGTGTGGCTCAAACTTTCTGTTAAACAAAAGTTTAAAGACCTTTTTTCAATGAGTGGTATTCTAAAATTGAAAATTCGAGTAACAGTTTGTTTTATAGAATAATTAAGAGAACTTTTGGATTTGAATCGTACTTGGCAAATTTAGATAGTTCATTACTGTACTATTTTATTAAATTTCGAACAAGAAATCATCGATTTCCAATAGAAACGGGAAATTGGTCCAGTACTCCATTTAACCAAAGATTTTGTCCTAATTGTCAAAATAAAATTTTGACGACGAATTTCATTATTTACTTGAATGTTGTCAATTTAACGAAGAAAGAAAACGATTTTTGAAAAAAGCAAATTATCAACGACCAAACATTTTTAAACTAGAAAATCTTATGTGTACTAAAAACAAATCTGAATTTCTCAAATTGTGTAAATTTGTTAAATGTATTATTCAAAAGATAAGAACTTAACTATTCACTGAAAATACTTGTGTTATTTATATAACATTAGCTCTAAATTTGTAATTATTGATTAGCATGTTTTGTTTGTCACCTTTTGTGAGCCTCGTATGATTATATCATTTATTGTAAATTCCTCATATTTGCATGTATACATGTATTGAGAGAAATAAAGATTATGTTATGTTATGTTATGATTAATTCCTCCTTGATGTTAACCAGATAATATATAAATATGAAATAAATCGATTGACATACTTGTACCTTCGTTCCTAATACATCTTATAAAAT